CTGATTGGAAACAAACTGGGAATGGTGACATCTCTATGGCTTGTGCAGCTGCATTCTGAGAAATTTTCGAGTGTGAGTGCTCCAAATTTTATCCAGGTACCTTTCTCACTCTACCAGTGCTATTTCTYGGTTATTTAACACTCAATGTCCTTTCTGTTAAGTCCACAAAGATCAGACAACCAGCACTGCTGTTAATGTAAGCATTCTTCTCCTTCTCTCTTCCCCCAATTTGTCCCATCCAACAGGCCAACGTATCTTTTTCCTGTGGAATTTCCTTCTTACCACTCAGAGAGGTGCTGAGTTGCAGATCTACCTGGAGCACAACTGTGCATGGAGAAACCAACCTCCACTGCCAGGAAACCCCTTTCACTTGCACCAGGGAAGTGATTTATGACCCTGTAGCACACACATGCAATTTAAGCATGTATACAAACTTTACATGCTCACAAAATGGCTCCTTATTTATACTTAGAAAGAGAGGGAGCACACTATTTATTTCCCTCACTTCAAAGTTATAAAATTCTTATTGTAAAGTCACAGTGTTGAAAAAGTCACATATGTGTGTSTCTCTCTCTCAGACTTTATATTGCACGGGGGCTCTGACCCTCGGCAGATGGAAGAAGATGCAAGATGCAGTTAGGACAATGGGCACACTTTATTCAGTGGTGGCCACAGCCATTAGCCAGCCTCCACCTTCAGCTGCAGCCCCCAGCCAGCTCCATTTTAGCCCCCTCAGTCCTTTTCCATAGGCCTTTTTTATACGCAGGCCAAACAAAGAAGGCACAATGCCAACAGGTTACATAAGGGGACGCATGCTCACAAGTTAACGTTTCGTAAACATTAAGTTGAATATATACGCTGAATCACAGTGTTTCTGCCCTCGACTAACCACAACACAGTGGGTTCCCAGCCCTGATTACACGCTAAAAACATAACATAGCTCGCCAGAAACCTCCGTGAGGGAGCCTGACTACAGCCATCTGGGGGCCTATTCCAACACTCCATTCTAAGCCCCTTGAAGACTGGAATTATTTGAATTCACCTGAATCTCCCACAGTGCTTTGCATGGGGTAGGTGCTTAGAATCCATTTGCTGAGTGAATGCAATTTTTTGACTTAGAAAACATTACTTTAATTATAGAATAATTATTTTCCATAGAACTTCCTCTATACCATAAAAATGTCTAAGGGCTGGGATGTAGCCAAACGGTAGAGTAGGTGCCTAGCAAGCACAAGACCCTGGGTTTAATCTCCAGCACTCCCTCACTCCCCCTCCACCTCCCCCCCCCAAAAAAAAAAAATCAACTAACCTAACCAGATAGCCTGTCCCATGTAAAGTTCCTGCTGTGTGCCAAGCACTTTGCCAGAGGCAGAGGACACAAACACAATGAAGTTTAGCAGTCTGGGAGCCTTTTTTTCCCTGGGGGAAGAGTCCATGGGTCTCTTAAGTCAGAGATGTTTCTGGACTACAGAATTCTTTCCTATGTTTCCAAGTCCCCAAGCATAAGCACAGTGAAGATTATTTCACAAGCTGCAGAACCAGGCGGCTCAGAAAGGCCAAGGCAGCGGGACATGGTTGAGCTCACCATGCCCTTGTTATTGTTCTGGGTGGAAGGCAGCAGACAGAAGAGGCAGAGAAATGGCAGATGAAGCCTTTTTAATTTGGTGGCAATTAATTCTTTCGCTTGCTTTAAATTAAAATGTTCAGCTTTTCCTCATCACACTCATCAACAGCTGTTAACATCAGTGTCTCTTCAGCATTTGGAAGGCTCTGAGTGTAAACAGCCCAATGAAAGATAAATTGTAAAACCTTGATTAAGCAGAATGCTTTGGGAATGAGCTTTACTGGTTTATTGATTCTTCTACTTATTGGAGACTTAGCCAGAAAACTCGTTTTTTTCCCCTTCAGCCTACATGTATTCATTTGTTCATCCCATCAATTAATCAACATAACAGTAAAGTGGCTAAGTGCAGTGTGGGAGCCAAGCTGCCTGGATACCATCCCAGCTCCGTCACTTAGTCACCCTGGGCACATTGCTTATTCTCTCTGTGATTCTGTTTCCTCATCTGTAAAATGGAGACAATAATAGTACTTATGGCATATGTATGCAAATTAGGTAACTTAACATATAGAGACCGCAGGATAGTGCCTAGTACATGGTGGGTGCTAGATAACTGTTACTGCTATTAGTATTATTGATCACCTCCTGTATTTGCATGGCAGGGCAAGAAGTAGGTGTGACCCTGCCTCATTGTGAATTCCTACCACTATTAAAAAAATTCAAGTATTAATTCTGCCTATCCAAGAACAAGGTAGATCTTTCTATCTTCTAAGGTCTTCTTTGACCTTAGAAGTGAAACACAGTGAAACCCCCCCCCAAAAAAAAAAAAATTCAAGTAATGTAGAATTATGTAGGATTTCTTAAATCTCGAGAGTGAAAAACAGATTGAAAGGAAATAAGTGAAATATGCTATTCTGTTTTTTAAAATTTATTTTTCCATTATGAAAGAATGTGCATGTCTTATGTCTATATACATATAAATATACCCTCAGGAAAATTGGGAAATATGGAAAAATAGAAAGGAGGAAAAAATCCTTSTAAATTCCTGGCAATTTTTCTGTGCATAGATGATTTTTGCTGTGGAAGGTTGGAGAGAATGGAAGTAACCAAAGTTGTGATCATAATATATATATATATACAGACTTATACATTATACTTATATATATGCAGACTTACATCTGTGTTCATTTAATGTTTTAACAAAAGTATTTTCATGTTATTATAATATGTGCTTAGAAAAAAAATCAAAATCGACCCCACCTGTTTTAGTCAGCTTTTTTACTGCTGGGACTAAAGGATCTGACCAGCACAACTGTAGGAGAGGAAAAATTTATTTGAGGGCTCACAGTTTCAGAGGTCTTAGTCCAGAGAAGGCCAGCTCCATTCTTGTGGGGGGAAGCTGGAGATGTGGCTGAACATCAAGGCAGGAGAGGGTGGCGGAGGAAAGCAGCTCACATCATGGTAATCAGGAAGCAGAGAGAGAGACTCCAGCTCCAGACACAAAATATAGACCCCTAGCCATGCTCCCGATTAACCACTTCTTCCAGCCACATCCACCTGCCTCTAGTTAACATCTGGTTAATCCCATCAGGGAGCTTTTGGGGGACACCTCATATCCAAACCATAACATTTCACCCGTGGTCCCCAAAAGCTCACACTCATCTGACAAGGCAAAATACATTTAGTCCACTCCCAAGAGTCGCCATAATCTCCACAGTTCCGAGACTGCCCAAAGTTCAAGTTCAAAGTCTTCTCTGTGACTCAAGGCAACCTTGCATTGGGAGCTCCTATAAAATTAAAAGCAATTGACAAATATCCAACATATAAAGGCATGGGGTATATATTTTGTACCTGGATCTGCAGTCTCTCTGCTCAGTCTCACCATGATGTGAGCCGCTTCCCTCTGCCACACTCTTCCAGCCTCACCTGGAGCCCTGAGGGATGGAACCAGACTTCTGTGGACTAAAACCTCTGAAACTGAGAACCCTCAAATAAACTTTTCCTCCTTACAGTTGCTCTGGTCGGATCCTTTAGTCACAGCAACGAAAAAGCTGACTAAAACACTACCTTTCCTAATTCTGCTCATCACAGGTAATCATTATATAATAATCCCACGAATCTCTTTCGAGACTATTTTTCTAGGTATAAGGTAGTGATTAATATTGAAATTAATACTGGTAATGATACTCTCTACTAAACTACAGTTTATTCATATTTCCCTCATTTACAGTAATTGGCTTTTTTATCACCACATATTAATTATACATGTTAATGGGGTTGTGATTTTCCATATGGCATGCATTGATCATATCCACTCTCCCTTCTTATACCCTCATCTCTTCTGGGGCCCCCCAGCTTTCCCACCCTTCCCCAGACTTGCATACTTACTATTATACTTTTAGGATGTCTTTTTGCTTTTGTTTACACATATGAAAAAGAACATGTCATACTTGTCTTTCTGTGTCTGGCATATTTTTGCTTTACATGACGTCCTCCAGTTTTATTTATTTTGCTGCAAATGACACGATTTCATTCTTCTTTATGGCTGAATAATACTCTATTCTGTATATATATATATATATATATATATATATATATATATATATATATATATTACATTTTCTTTATCCATTCATCTACTGATGAGTACCAAGGCTGATTGAATAGCCCATTTCATAGCTATTGTGAATAGTGCCGCAGTAAAAACGCACACGCACGTGTTTCTTTAGTATGCCAACTTCATTTCTTTTGGATATATATCTAGAAATAACATAACTGGATATATTAATATTAAGATTATAACTGGAAATAATATAACTGGATCTATCATGTGATAGATCCATTTTTAGTTTTTTGAGGAAACTCCATAATGCTGTCCATAGCAGTTATACTAATTTACATTTCCACAATAGTTTTAAGGGTTCCTTTTCCTCCACATCCTCCTTGGCATTTGTTACTTTTTACATTTGGCTCGTTTTGTTTTTTCTTTTTTTCTTGTGACAGTAGAGTGTATTTTGACATATTATACATTCATGGAGTATAACCTTTTCTAATACTTTTTTTTAAAAGAATAGCCCTTCTGACTGGGGGGAGGTGGAATCTCATAGTAGTATGGATTTGCAGTTCCCTGATGGCTAAGGAGCATCATTCGCTTTTTTTCATACATTTATCAGTCATTTGTACTTCTTCTTTGTTTTTTTTTTTAAAGTTGTATTGGTTCATTATATAATATATAATAGTGTGATTTGTATTTCTTCTTTGGGGAAGGGTCTACTCAGCTCATTTGYCCATTTTTAATTGGCTTACTTGGTTTTTTGTTGTTAAATTTTGTGAGTTCCTTATGGAGGCGGCAAATATTTTCTCCCATTCTGTAGGCTCTTTCTTCACTGTTGATTGTTTTCTTTGCAGTGTAGAAGCTTTAATTTGATATAATTCCATTTGCCAATTTTTGTGTTTATTTCTTGTGCTTTGGGGGCCCTGTCAAAAAAAAAAAAAAAAAGTCATTGCCAGTGCCAATATCTTGAAATGTTTTCCCACTGCTTTCTTCTACTAGCTTCAGGTTTTTACATGAAGTTATTTGATCTATTTTGAGTCAATTTTTGTACAGAGATAATAGTCAAGTTTCAATCTTCTGCATGTGGATATCCGTTTTCCCTGTATCATTTGTGGAAGAGGCTATACTTTCTCCCATGTATGTTTTGGGCAACTTTGTTGAGAATCAGTTGGCAAAGGTGCATGGGTCTATTTCTGGGTTCTCTATTCTATTCCATTGGTCTACACATCTGTTTTTATGCCTATGCTACACTGTTTTATTTACCATGGCTCTACAATATATTTTGAAATTAGGTATAGTGTGATTCATTCAGCTTTGTCTTTTTTCCTCAGGATTATTTTAGCTATTTGAGATCATTTGTGTTTCCATATAAATTTTGGGATTTTTTTTTTTTTTTTTACTTCTGTGAAGGATGCCATTGGTATTTTGATGGGGATTGCATTGAATTTGTAAATCTGTCTGGGTGGTATGGACATTTTAACACTATTAATTCTTTTAATCAATGAACACAGAAGGGCTTTTCACCTTTGAATGTGAAGTTCTTTTTCACACTCTAAGGTGTAAAGACCTCAGTTTTAAATTTKTATCAAAAATATAATCATTTTTTACTATCAATACATTATGGACAATTTTGTAGGTCAGTACATACAGGCCTTCAGGCGTATCTTCTAGGAAGGGGCTGCTTTGCCTTTTATAATGATATAAACCATACTTTAGTTAATCTTACTCCTATTGGACATTAGGTTGTTTCCAATTTCTTTTTTTTTTTTTAATCAGTGCAAAAACACTACAATGAACATCCATGTACAAGTAGTATTGCGCATTTATAGAGTCGTCGTTTTTTGGTGCGGGCAATCAAACCCAGGGCCTGGCACATGCTGGATAATCACTGATATTACCCTTGAGCTATAACCCCAGCTGCAGAATATTTCTGTGGGAGAAGCTTCTTTCATCTCCAAAATGTAACAGTTTTGACAAAGCAGGGACTCTGATGTTGAGATGGCCTCAGAGCCACTAGGACACATTCTCATCACATCACATGCGGATGTGGGCTGAAACTCTGGCACAGATCTAAGTGACTGGTTCTTTTTGAATGATCTCTAYCTAAGCAGCTTCTTTAGTCATGATTTTCTTCTTTCTTAAGATTTGGTAAAAAGCATTCACATTAATAGCAGCTATGATGAGCCGAGTTCCAGGTAATTAAGGYCTTCATTTTCACATTAAAACCTCATTCACATCACTTTTCTCCTCTAGCCCACCCTCCCTCGGGCCAAGAAATTCCATGACTTCTGACTCTGGTTGTTCTCCAATTATTTAGAGCTTGTCAACCATGAAAGAGGGAGAGAATGAGCAAGGAAAGAGGGAGGAGTTAAAATAACAGCCAGATGGAGATCATGAAATKACTTAAACTGGAAAGTCACTCAGGAGAAACCTCGTGCTGCAGCTATGCAAAGATGATGACAAATTGGGTAAATGACTTTACAGTCATGAGCTAAGCTAAAAACATACTAAAAGGAAGACCCTGGATATATGAGCTGGGGTGCAGGCTTAACTGTCCTGTAAAGAAAAAAAGTGGCTCAAATAAGACAGAGATTTAATTCTCCCTCTCTAAAGAGTCCAAAGACAGGCTAGAGGTCCAGAGCAGACAGATGCACTGTTCCCTAATGTCATCCCAAGACACAGGCACTGGGTCAACTCTTGCCTCCCGAACGGCTCCTATCTTTGGTACAGGTGGCAGCTGCAGTTAYTGCCGTATCCACACCATAAGAAATGGAGGGTGCAGCATGAGCCCCTTTCTTYAATGTTCACATCATTTCCACGCCCATTTCAGTGGCAGGAATTTAGTCACATGCCCCTACTAGCTGCAACAGAAGCTGCCAGCAAATTGGTTGCTACATGGACGAACAGTTTACCAAATTAAATCTTGCTTTTTTTTTTTTTTTTTTTAAGGAAAAGAAGAGGAAATTAGTGTCAGTAGAAGGAAGGATATATACATATGGGCTTTGTTTTTGTTGTTGTTGTTGTTGTTTTTGGTCCTGGGGATTGAACCTAGCAGGGATTAACCACTAAGCTACATCTCCAGCCCTCCTGAGTCACTGGGATTACAGGCATGCACCCCTGCACCCAGCAATATTGGGGTCTTTGTTCTCTGTTATGCTGGGTTTACGTAGAGGAACCAAAGAAAGTCATTCTACAGAATGGGACTTATTTAAGGGCTTGATGACCTAATGAAAGAGCATGATTAATAGCAAGTTTAGGTCATTAACTTCTTTTTTACAGAATCCATGACAGCGTGTACCTCACACATGCACCATCTCTCAGTCTGGCACGTTATTTTTGTTTTCTAAACACTCCCCTTTCTAATTTCCCAAAGCCCTTAATCTGTATCCCCAAAAGTCCTCATTTGTATCCCCAATTCTTCCCAAACTTGAGAGATACCAGGAAGTCATGCCTGAGGTCGAGTTTGCAGATAAGCAACTAGACCTCAGCAGCCACATACCACTTTGCTAAAAGAGAAAATAAGGTTTATTCTTAGCAACCACTGAAATATACACAGAAAGTTTATGACAGGGTAGGGAGAATTATAGGATCGCAGCTGTACCAAAGAGCATATAAGGAAAATGTATAGGAGAATTTTCTTGGACGTCTGCCTGATCTGTTGACTTATTTTGATTTCCTTTACAGCAGTCTTGTGGATATCTGTTTATTTTTCATGACTTCTCTAATTGGAGCAGGCTCACTTTGTTGTGATAAGGTTTGTGCATTTTAAGAGTGARAGAAAGAGTATAAAACAATATAGTTCCTGTGGGTTCCTCTGAATGTACCGAAAGATTGTGAAATTCTTTCTAATATAGTTCCCAGTGATATTATTTGGGGTGAGGTGTTTCCTCTGGCAAAGAATGTTTTCAGATGTCCCTGTTATGGTCTCTAAATAAAGAGCCAAGCCCTAACCTGATCCATAAAGTAATGTAAAGGAAAGTTCTGGTATCCAGAACATTTGCCGTGACTTGAGCTGATTCTCTTTACTGGGTTGGGTCCACGGCCTCCAGCTGCTAAGAACCAGAGCCAGCCATAGTTATTTGCTTACTTGCCTGTGCATTTGCACCCACTGTCCACCTCTGCAAGATGCACTCCCAAACTCAGTCCCTTCTGTGAAGACTGATGCCAAGGCAGTGGCATAGAAGAGCCAGAGTTGACAATGACATTGTTCTACTCTCTCCCTTTTATAGATGTAGAAAAGAGAAGAGACTCAATGTGGCTTGTGAGAGAACCTGGAGTAAATTCCAGGTCACCGGTCACTTTGCAGCACTGTCCCTAGTCCTCCTAATGATAGCCATTACTAAAATTTTCCTTCAATTTAAATCTCTAAAAGTCCCTGCCACCCTCCTTGGAGATAAACTGACTTTGGAATTAACCATAAACTAATTTATCTGTCATAAGCCATTTGCAGCTCACACTTAATGTTTATCTGTGGCTAGCCATCTTGTGACATGGTGTTAGCCCAGAATTCGATTTCTAGGGCTATMCAAGGTATAGGGCACACCTAACGCCCAAAAATCATAGTAGAGGGGCTTGAATAGCAGAGCTGGGCAATTCAGGAACACGGAGGAATCACAGGTATGTGAACAGAACCAGACTGCTGACTGGCTCTTTAGGAAATTGGGCAACACGTGCCCCTTCCAACAGGGAAGCTAATAGCTCCAGGAGATGGGAGACTTCGAGGGCCCCGTGTCGTTAGATATCCATCGACAAGAGATGTTAGAATTTTGTATGCATTTAAATGTGAAATTACTTGCATTTTAAATATTGGCTCACATTTTAAAACATTTTTTTTAAAATACTGCCAGGCTCAACAAAATCCAGCTCCTGCGCTTGCCTGCCAATGCAGCATCTGCAGCCTAGCCACAGTCAAGGGTGAATGCTAAAGCCAAGCACACCAGTGTGAACCCTGGCTCAGCCTGGCTGTGTGGCCTCGGGCAAGGTGACCTCCCCACCCACAGTAGAATTGCTGCTGCCGACCTCATAGAATTCTTGGGAAGATTGAGATAATGTAGGTGAAGCACTTAGCAYGATGCCACACACATCATACTTGGTTCAAGTTAGCAACGCCCCTATTATAACACTGAACCATGAAGTCCTGAATGTGCTTGGTCAGAGCAACACCCAGAAAGCTCTCTAAAGCAAAGCCAGCACTTATCTCCTAAAAGCACACCATTTCTGTCAGCTAGTTTCTGAACCAGGGTCCTTCATGGCTCCCTGTTCCCCGCTGGACATACTGTGTGAAGTTAGCATAGCGCATTGGCATACAGTTAGTTCCCTGTGGCCTTCCTCTGGAGCTGGATAATTGGAAAGAAGGAACATGCTGGTTGCTTGAATCATTCTGGAGAACCTTGGAAGATGCAGGAACATGGCCCCTGGTAATGAGCATGCACAGAGGCAATGCAGGTTCAGCCAGGAGGCGCCTAGGCTGTTGAGTCTAAAAGAACACCCTTCCCCTGACAGCGCAGATTATCTGATGTGAGAGTGTGGCCTCTGACTCAAGACAGGTCTGTGCTTTCTCAGCTCGACAGGCATAAGTGGCATATGTGATGAGATTGGGATCAGGCCTGGAGAGATCACTAGGAGACTCTGAGGGCTTAAATGTGGATGAAAACTCTGGAATGCTGCCCAACCAGTACTTTAGGTAGTACTTAAATTCTCAGCAAGGATGGAAAGACATTGAGAACCAGAAAGGCTACTTTGACCATTTTACTTTGGCTTAGAGGGTCTTAGTGCTCCTATGGACATTCAGGCAGATCTGCTTCCTCTGACCAAAGAGTCAGAGATACATTTCTTTGGTAGATTTAACAAGTCATAGGCCACAGTGGGCATGCTAGGACAGAGGAAAGCCTGCAGGGTCAGCAGGAGGTACTGGAACAGTGGA